AAAAAAAAAAAAAAGAATAGTGGGGGAGGAGTGGAGGAGGTAAGAAATGGGATCATGGTTTCTGTCTGTCTGTCTGTCGGTCTGTCATGGGGCCTGAACTCTGGGCCTGAGCACTGTCCCTCCGCTCTTTAGCTCATGGCTAGCACCCTACCACTTGAGCCACAGCAACACTTCTGGCTTTTTCTGTTTATGTGGTGCTAAGGAATCAAACCTAGGTCCTCATGCATGCAAGGCAAGCACTCTACCACTAAGCCACCTTCCCAGCCCCAGGATTATGGTTTCTGTGGAAAGTATAGAGAATTACAGATGATTTCACACCTTGTGGCTTGAGCAGCCGTGTGGACGGCAGTGGTAGTATGGAGTGCCGCCAAGGTTTTGGTGTGTTGTGCAGGAAGTAGAATTAGATTTCAAGTGTCCGGTAGACATCCAAGTGGAGGTGTTGAGTAGGCAGTCATGTATATCTTAGACTAGACTAGAATTAAAAGAGTATAGATAGGAGACAAATATATCATTACTCTATGCTTAATATAACCTTTGGACAGAGTGAAAGTTGAACATATTATTTATTATCCAAAATAGCGCTTTTTTTTTTTGAGACAGGATCTCACTCTGTGACTCAATCTGGCCTCAGACTCCTGGGATCAAGAAATCCTGCTTTGAGGTGTTGGGAAGGTGGCTCAGTGGTAGAGTGCTTGCCTTGCATGCATGAGGCCCTGGGTTCGATTCCTCAACACTACATAAGCAGAAAAAGCCGCAAGTGGCCCTATGGCTCAAAGTGGTAGAATCCTAGCCTGAAGAGCTGAGGGACAGTGCCCAGGCCCAGAGTTCGGGCCCCAGTACTGACCAAAAAAAAAAGAAGAAGAAGAAAAATCCTGCTTTGAGTCTAGCACTGGTGGCTAACACCTGTAATCCTACCTACTCAGAAGGCTGAAGAGGTCAGTTAGCATTCTACCACTGAAGAGTCTCTCAGACATTTCTGCCTGTGCTGGCTTCAAACCATAATCCTCAGATCTCAGCCTCCTGAGTGGCTCCAGTTACCAGTCTGAACTATCAGAGCCCCGCAGGAAACAACAACAACAAAACTTTAAAAGGAGCCTAGACAGCCTGGCATAGCTGAGATCTAAGGATCACTGTTTAAAGCCAGGCTGCTCAGGCAGAAAAGTCCCAGTAAGACTCTATAATCTCCAATTAACCACTCAAAATACCAGAAGGAGTGCTGTGGCTCAAAGTGGTAGAACTCTAGCCTGGAGCAAAATGAGCTCAGGGACAGCGCCCAGGCCCTGAGTTCAAGCCCCACGACTGATGGAAAAAAAAAGGGGGGGCAAGACATTGTGGGGACCTGAGATTAAGGAAGGGTTTGTTCCTTTAACACCGAGTGTTGATGATTACAGTAGCCAGTTCAGGTTGCTCACAAACCACTGATGGCCTGCTTCTCCTCCCCACGGGCTCAGATTTAATTGATTCTGGAGTGTCGCCAGGTTCACAGAGATTTTTTTTTAAAGCTCCCAGGTGATCTTTACCATGCTTTGAGGGGACAATCCTAGCACACGACCGATTTCACTGCTCTCGCAAGGTCTTCGCTTAACCCAGGTAGCACCATTTGAATGACTAAACCTTTTCCGTGACAGTGTCCCGTTTTCTGCATTGCACCCACAGGCAAATGAGGGCAAGAAGCAGTCATTGCATCCCGAGGGAGAAATGGGGAAGACAAGACAGGAAGGGGACCCCGATGGTCCCCCCCGCCCTGCGGGACTCCCCCAGCCGCGAGCGGTGCTTCCCGCGCGCGGGCCGCGCGGACGCCAGTGCGCACGCGCAGA